TCACCTGTTCCTGCCACCCATGTAGACACCTGTTCCTTCCACCCATCTAAACTCACCTGTTCCTGCCACACATCTAGACACACCTGTTCCTGACCCCCATCTAGACACACCTGTTCCTGCCACCCATCTAAACACACTTGTTCCTGCCACCCATGTAAACTCACCTGTTCCTGCCACCCATCTAGACACACCTGTTCCTGCCACCCATTAAGACACACGTGTTCCTGCCACCCATCTAGACACACCTGTTCCTGCCCCCCATCTAGACACACTTGTTCCTGCCACCCATCTAGACACACGGGTTCCTGCCACCCATCTAGGCACACGTGTTCCTGCCACCCATCTAGACACACGTGTTCCTGCCACCCATCAAGACACACCTGTTCCTGCCACCCATCTAGACACACCTATTCCTGCCACCTATCTAAACTCACCTGTTCCTGCCACCCATGTAGACACCTGTTCCTTCCACCCATCTAAACTCACCTGTTCCTGCCACACATCTAGACACACCTGTCCTTGACCCCCATCTAGACACACCTGTTCCTGCCCCCCATCTAGACACACCTGTTCCTGCCGCCCATCTAGACACACGTGTTCCTGCCACCCATCTAGACACACGTGTTCCTGCCACCCATCTAGACACACGTGTTCCTGCCACCCATCAAGACACACCTGTTCCTGCCACCCATCTAAACACACTCTTCCTGCCACCCATCTAAACACACTCTTCCTGCCACCCATCTAAACACACTCTTCCTGCCACCCATCTAGACACACTCTTCCTGCCACCCATCTAAACACACTCTTCCTGCCACCCATCTAAACACACTCTTCCTGCCACCCATCTAGACACACTCTTCCTGCCACCCATCTAGACACACTCTTCCTGCCACCCATCTAAACACACTCTTCCTGCCACCCATCTAGACACACTCTTCCTGCCACCCATCTAAACACACTCTTCCTGCCACCCATCTAGACACACTCTTCCTGCCACCCATCTAAACACACTCTTCCTGCCACCCATCTAGACACACTCTTCCTGCCACCCATCTAAACACACTCTTCCTGCCACCCATCTAGACACACTCTTCCTGCCACCCATCTAAACACACTCTTCCTGCCACCCATCTAGACACACTCTTCCTGCCACCCATCTAAACACACTCTTCCTGCCACCCATCTAAACACACTCTTCTGCCACCCATCTAAACACACTCTTCCTGCCACCATCTAAACACACTCTTCCTGCCACCCATCTAGACACACTCTTCCTGCCACCCATCTAGACACACTCTTCCTGCCACCCATCTAAACAACACTCTTCCTGCACCCATCTAGACACACTCTTCCTGCCACCCATCTAAACACACTCTTCCTGCCACCCATCTAGACAACACTCTTCCTGCCACCCATCTAAACACACTCTTCCTGCCAACCCATCTAGACACACTCTTCCTGCCACCCATCTAAACACACTCTTCCTGCCACCCATCTAGACACACTCTTCCTGCCACCCATCTAAACACACTCTTCCTGCCACCCATCTAGACACACTCTTCCTGCCACCCATCTAAACACACTCTTCCTGCCACCCATCTAAACACACTCTTCCTGCCACCCATCTAAACACACTCTTCCTGCCACCCATCTAAACACACTCTTCCTGCCACCCATCTAGACACACTCTTCCTGCCACCCATCTAAACACACTCTTCCTGCCACCCATCTAAACACACACTCTTCCTGCCACCCATCTAAACACACTCTTCCTGCCACCCCATCTAAACACACTCTTCCTGCCACCCATCTAAACACACTCTTCCTGCCACCCATCTAAACACACTCTTCCTGCCACCCATCTAAACACACTCTTCCTGCCACCCATCTAAACACACTCTTCCTGGCACCCACCTAAACACACTCTTCCTGCCACCCATCTAAACACACTCTTCCTGCCACCCATCTAGACACACTCTTCCTGCCACCCATCTAGACACACTCTTCCTGCCACCCATCTAGACGCACTCTTCCTGCCACCCATCTAAACACACTCTTCCTGCCACCCTATCTAAACACACTCTTTCTGCCACCCATCTAAACACACTCTTCCTGCCACCCATCTAAACACACTCTTCCTGCCACCCATCTAAACACACTCTTCCTGCCACCCATCTAAACACACTCTTCCTGCCACCCATCTAAACACACTCTTCCTGCCACCCATCTAAACACACTCTTCCTGCCACCCATCTAGACACACTCTTCCTGCCACCCCATCTAGACGCTCTCTTCCTGCACCCATCTAAACACACTCTTCCTGCCACCCATCTAAACACACTCTTCCTCCCACCCATCTAAACACACTCTTCCTGCCACCCATCTAAACACACTCTTCCTGCCACCCATCTAAACACACTCTTCCTGCCACCCATCAAAAACACACTCTTCCTGCCACCCATCTAGACACACTCTTCCTGCCACCCATCTAAACACACTCTTCCTGCCACCCATCTAAACACACTCTTCCTGCCACCCATCTAAACACACTCTTCCTGCCACCCATCTAAACACACTCTTCCTGCCACACATCTAAACACACTCTTCCTGCCACACATCTAAACACACTCTTCCTGCCACCCATCTAAACACACTCTTCCTGCCACAACATCTAAACGCACTCTTCCTGCCACCCATCTAAACACACTCTTCCTGCCACCCATCTAAACACACTCTTCCTGCCACCCATCTAAACACACTCTTCCTGCCACCCATCTAAACACACTCTTCCTGCCACCCATCTAAACAACACTCTTCCTGCCACCCATCTAAACACAGTCTTCCTGCCACCCATCTAAACACACTCTTCCTGCCACCCATCTAAACACACTCTTTCCTGCCACCCATCTAAACACACTCTTCCTGCCACCCATCTAAAAACACTCTTCCTGCCACCCATCTAAAAACACTCTTCCTGCCACCCATCTAAAAACACTCTTCCTGCCACCCTTCTAAACACACTCTTCCTGCCATTCGTCTTGTAACAGCAAATATACACGCCAACCTTCCAAAGAGATCCTTGACGTCATTGAGGATGATTTCTCTCACATAACTAGAACAAGAACTTACAACCATCTCACTGGTAAATCATTCATAAAACTTCCCAAACTATAAGATATAAGGTCCACGGGGTTCTGCTTACACTCTGGTTAAATATTAAGGTCCACGGGATTCCATTCACACACTGGTCAAATATTACGGCCATGGGGCTCCACTCATACTTACAATAAACAAGCATCAAGGTCCACGTGGTTCCACTCACACAATAAACAAGCATCAAGGTCTATGGGGTTCCACTTACACAATGGTCAAACATTAATTTCCACGGGGTTCCACTCACACTTAATAAATAAGCATCAAGGTCCACGGGGTTCCACTCACTAAATAATAAACAAGCATCAAGGTTCACGGAGTTCCACTCACACTTAACAATAAACAAGTATCAAGGTCCACGAGGTTCCACTCACACTTAACAATGAATAAGCATCAAGGTCCACGAGGTTCCACTCACTTAATAATAAACAAGCATCAAGGTCCACGGGGTTCCACTCACACTTAACAATAAACAAGCATCAAGATCCATGGGGTTCCACTCGCTTAACAATAAACAAACATCAAGGTTCATGAGGTTCCACTCACACTTAACAATAATCAAGCATCAAGGTCCAAGGGGTTGCACTCACACTTAACAATAAACAAACATCAAGGTCCACGGGGTTCCACTCACGCTTAACAATAAACAAGCATCAAGGTCCACGGGGTTCCATTCGCACTTAATAAACAAGCATCAAGGTCCACGGGGTTCCACTCACACTTAACAATAAACAAGCATCAAGGTCCACGGGGTTCCACTCACACTTAACAATAAACAAGCATCAAGGTCAACGGGGTTCCATTTACACTTAACAATAAACAAGCAATATGTAAAGTAAAAGGACACAAGTGCAACTAATGTGACATTTATTGTGGCAACGTTTCGCTCTCCAGGAGCTTTATCAAGCCATTGATAAAGCTCCTGGAGAGCGAAACGTTGCCACAATAAATGTCACATTAGTTGCACTTGTGTCCTTTTACTTTACATATTGTCGGTAATTCTACCAACTTTATTACAATAAACAAGCATCAAGGTCCACGGGGTTCCACTCACACTTAACAATAAACAAGCATCAAGGTCCACGGGGTTCCACTCACACTTAACAATAAACAAGCATCAAGGTCAACGGGGTTCCACTCACACTTAACAATAAACAAGCATCAAGGTCCACGGGGTTCCACTCACACTTAACAATAAACAAGCATCAAGGTCAACGGGGTTCCATTTACACTTAACAATAAACAAGCATCAAGGTCCACGGGGTTCCACTCACACTTAACAATAAACAAGCATCAAGGTCAACGGGGTTCCATTTACACTTAACAATAAACAAGCATCAAGGTCCACGGGGTTCCACTCACACTTAACAATGAACAAGCATCAAGGTTACAGATGAAGTATAAAAAACGTTAAATACTTGTAGTGTGTTTTTCCACAAGATGAGTGACGCCAGTGGGTACTGAAACAGATATACCAACAATTACTATGGTATCGTGATTGGCATGGCATATATTAAAAAACTGGCAGAATATAAATCATAATTATAAAAAAATGATCAGTAATGTATTGGACTCACAGGTAACAAGAGACAGACAGCACGTATGTTGACAAGTCAGGCAAAGGACAAAGCCATCAGCACCAGACATAAGTGTCTCAGGTTATTTGAGGTGTTATATACACAGCATGTACAGGCTCGCTGGCGACTCTTACTCTCGGAATGCTATGGAGGGGAAACGCACTACACTCTACTGTTATAGAAGATTAAGAGCAAGAGGAATCAGACTTCGGAAGATAGCAAGCAGAGGGAGCGGTAGCTGCGGGATGGGGAGGGAGTTTGACGTACATCTGCAAACTGGCGCGACCTTCGGGCCCCGGGGCTAGCATCAAGGAAGGGGCCATGAGGCGGACCAGCATGGAGTTGGGCCTGACGTCAGGAGGTGAGGTGTGCGTCAGAGTCGTGGGGGACGGGGCAAGCACACAGCAAGAATTCAGCCGTTAGTGGTGAAAAAAGAGAACATTAAAACAGCCCATTAGTTGATGGAAGGAAGATGAGTGTGGACTCCAGTAACAACTTGAGAAGGAACAATAAATAAAGCAGTGGAAGCCGAGACATTTATGATAAAAAACTAAAGAAAGTATTAAAAAAACACTTAACATTCGGTCAACTAGTTAAAGATAAATTCTGGAAAGTCAGTTGAAAGTCAATGGAACACTGTCAGACATAGACAATAAGGAATGATAAAGTAACTCAGAACTATTTTAAAATTTCCCATTATGCCTAATGTAAGTGCAAAAACCATTATTGCCCGGAAATGTAGTTAATAAAGCTTAAGTTCTAGAAAAACACTGAAGACAATTAAGTGTGCATTAAACTAAATTTAACAGTAAAACTAATTAATAATAAATATCACAATACAGATAAGAGATCAACACCAAAATATCCAGTGAGACAAGCAAAATTAACAGACAGACTTCAATGCAGCAACAAAAACAGCAATATATATATATATATATATATATATATATATTATATATATATATATATATATATATATATATATATATAATATATATATATATATATATATATATATATATAGTGTGTGTGTATAGGAACACCATCAGATGACTGAGCTCACCTCTTCTTCTGTGAAGGCTGGATGGCATTGGCAAGAAGTGTCTTATATTGCTCGGAGCGCAGAAACCTTGGGTAGCAGTCCTTCTTGAGCAGCAGGATGTACACATGCTCTGAGGCCAGGTCGTAGGTGTACCGTGAAGGCTGCTTCATCATCTGCTGAGTCAACTCCATCGTCTTGCCATCAATGTTGATCTCACAAGGCGCCCCAGGCTTCAAAAATTCCCTGAATAGCATTCATATTATTACTCTGATTCGTGATATCAAAATAATACATTTGTAACACTCACAGAACAAAGGGTTGAAACCTGTGGCAGGCTAGTAAGCTAGCCACTGTACAGTTCTGTCAGAGAGTTTATTAATAATATAACTTATAGTAAAAAACGGTAGCAATATGATGGAGAGTGATTGTGCAAGAAGTATTAGAATGACCAAGTGTAATAATCGGGATTCCACAAGTATCAGTGCTGTTTCTAGGGTACATGAACGACGTGCCGGAAGAAACAGAATCTGCTGTATCCCTGTTCAGAGAAGATGTGAGACTAATGAAAAGAATATAATCAGGTAAGGTCAAGGAAAAGTAAGAAATGGACCTGGACAAAGTGCAGGACTGGTATGAGGGGTTATTGGAATTCAACTTCAGCAACTGAAAGGTTATGGAAACATGAAACAGGCTACAAACCTCACTAAAGGAGAAGGTTCCTGGGGTAAACATAGTCCTGAGCATATTACCTGAGGCGAACATCAGCCGACTCATTAAAATTATGAGAAAATATGAACAGTGTAAATTCATAAAATAATAATAGTACAACACAAGTGTCCATTACTCACTCATAAATATTCTGTACATTTTCAGCAACGCTGGCTGCAGGTCCCCACCTGAGTTCATTTACCGCTTGCCAGAAGCGAATGTTCTCATGGCTAAACTCCTTCCTTAAGTAAGCAGTAAACTCCGTCTGACCTGTGGAACAACACTTAATACAGTAACTGTCTGGTCCTTGAAGTGGGTAAGTTTAGCGTCACATCCAGTCTTATTGTAACTACGATGTTTCTTACGTGTATGGGAACCTAGACTCCATTTTCAGTTTGATTAAATATGTAATAAAGTGTGAGGATACAGTCATTGTATTATATAAATGATTAGAAAACTGAGAAGAGTGAATATAGCAATACATTTACACTCAATCGCATATGTGAAATGTATATTGTATGTAAATACCAGTAGACAGATTTACCTGTCATCTAACGTGTTTGTGAGACAGAAAGAAAAGGTACCAACAGTCCCGTGAGTTAACCATTTACCAGGTTTCCATTTCACACTCATATGGCAGGAAGGCATATATATAAAGTGGGGAAATAGACTGCGAGGTAATTTAGATTGCTTGTAATATTAAGAATCCTCATATTGTTATGATGCAGCTTAGGGGTCTCGAGAAAACTTACTCGGTCACTATAGATATATTACTAGGTTCATAAAGCAGAATGATAGAAATGTCAGAGTGATAATAGACATGTGATACTGCTTCCTCACCCATGACATCGTTGATGAGCTCCTCCATGGTTATGCCCCAGCGACGTACTCTCTTCTCTGTCGGGACGTCAACTCTGTAACGAGTGAACTTTCTTCAGTGGTATGAGGCACTCGAATAACCGAACATGAGTTTCATTACCAATAAGACACACACACACACACACATACCAATAAGACTCTCACACTACCAATAACACTCTCACACTACCAATAAGACTCTCACACTACCAATAAGACTCTCACACTACCAATAAGACTCTCACACTACCAATAAGACTCTCACACTACCAATAAGACTCTCACACTACCAATATGACTCTCACACTACCAATAAGACTCTCACACCACCAATAAGACTCTCACACCACCAATAAGACTCTCACACCACCAATAAGACTCTTACACTACCAATAAGACTCTCACACCACCAATAAGACTTTCACACTACCAATAAGACTCTCACACTACCAATAAGACTCTCACACTACCAATAAGACTCACACACACTATCAATAAGACTCACACATTAACAACTGTGACGCAGACACACCTTTGCAGACATAACTTTCACCTGCTAATTGCAGTGGCATCTGTGGCTCCACCTACCACGTGTGTCATAAACAAGATAAGTAATGGCATTAGATGTTCTACAATTCCTATCATATTATGGATTATAATGCCATAAACTTGAGTAAAAGGTCGGCCAGGGGGAATGGCAGGTTAGGGCAACAGCCTACCAGGTTATTTTAACCTTAAATCTTAAATTTATTTATATTTCCAAGGTTCCTGATAGTTCACAGTTTCCTCTACCTAAGAAACTACAGTTGCACAAGGTTGCAAGAATACCTACCTCTCATTTATTCCTTACTGGTCTGGATAGTTTTAGTCCTCGGTATAATGAGTACATATCTGTTTTTATTTAAATTAGGTTGTTTTCGTCTCTGGTTTATTTGCCTTGTTCCTGATACCATTTCCACTTATGTGTACGACTTGAATATTTCGTGAGCATTGTATAGAGGAAGTAAGGAAGCTGACTGTTAACATTTGTGTTTCTGAGTGTTGGGTAGGATATGTGTCCTGATATTGTTGGGATTGTTTGGGTTACATGGGGAGTACTGTGTTGTAAACAGTGGTGTGCAATCGTGTCATTACGATTTCGTGAGTCATGAGTCCTACTGTGGTGTAGGAGTTGAAAGTTTGTTGCACTTTACTCCTGTAATAGTATTTATTCTCTTGATAATATTAGACTTACACCTTCTTCCTATCCCCTAACTCAAGTCTTCCAGACTCATATAAAAAATTTAATCTAGAACATTAACTCATAATCCGTAAACAGTTTTTCTTCTTCGTTGTTGCTCCCGGTGGTCTCTCGCCTCTCTAGTTTTATTTAATATTTATGTATGTCAAGTAAGTTTCACCTGCCATTGGTAATCTTCCCATTATTCACATTTCTTATCTACCACTGTTTGCACAATCATACGTAATAATAAAGGTCATGGCATTTTTTTTATATCCCCTCGTTGTCTTCCGTTGAGTCTTCCCTGATGACTTCTGACTAATTATCCACATTCTTTCACGTACATTGCTAGAGAGTTTTGTTACTAGTCTTACATTACCTGAATATGATATTGAAAGTAATTTACCTGTGAATAATAATAAGATAAACATATTTCACTTCAAAACAAGGATATATTAAGGCCAATATCTCTTACGTTCAGCTCGACTGTTAAAGACTTAAAACACACAGGTAGAGTGAGTTGAGCAGTGACTTGCATAGTATATCTGTGCGACCAGCAGTGACTTACATCGTATCATTGAGCGACCAGTAGGTAGGGTCGTCAGTGAGCCAGGGGTTGGAGGGTTGAGGCAAGGTGAGGAATGGATCATACTCATAGTAGGTCTCAGAGTGGGTCAATAGAGACTCGGCCGCTTGCGATACCTTTTGTCTGGTGCGATCCACCGCTGATGCCAGGAAGTCGTTCTGTCCAAGTGAGAGACAGTTATTTTCATTACGCTAAGTGGTAAGTTCATCTGCATTATATGAAGCGGTTACTAGTGCCATAACTGACAGTATACAACTATCGTGGTAACACCAGTCATGCCACAGATCGAATTCTATTCTACACAGAAATTTCAGTTATTCGATGGGCTCTTAGAGTCATACAGGTGAGCTAAATAATTTTAAATTATATAGAATTGGCTAAGATGGCAAACTTGCATGCAATATTAGCGAATATTCATTGTGGTATATATCATATTTAAGAATCCACTTATGTGAGCATAGGGTTGAGACGCCCAAAACTGCATATGTTATATTTTGTTGATAGTTTGCAGACTGATGAAAATATCTAGGAAAAATAAAATATTCTAGTGGCCATATATTTTTTTTAAAAACCTTTGTATGAACTCAGCAAGTGGAATTACTGTAAATAATTTTAATTATAATGGAATTAAAAGAAGAGAAAACAAGCCACAAGGACTATACAAATAGTGTTGTAAACTGTATAAACAGTGTTGTAAACTATATAAATAGTGTTGTAAACTGTATAAACAGTGTTGTAAACTATATAAACAGTGTTGTAAACTGTATAAACAGTGTTGTAAACTATATAAACAGTGTTGTAAACTATATAAACAGTGTTGTAAACTATATAAACAGTGTTGTAAACTATATAAATAGTGTTGTAAACTGTATAAACAGTGTTGTAAACTGTATAAACAGTGTTGTAAACTATATAAATAGTGTTGTAAACTGTATAAACAGTGTTGTAAACTATATAAACAGTGTTGTAAACTGTATAAACAGTGTTGTAAACTATATAAACAGTGTTGTAAACTGTATAAACAGTGTTGTAAACTATATAAACAGTGTTGTAAACTATATAAACAGTGTTGTAAACTGTATAAACAGTGTTGTAAACTATATAAACAGTGTTGTAAACTATATAAACAGTGTTGTAAACTGTATAAACAGTGTTGTAAACTATATAAACAGTGTTGTAAACTGTATAAACAGTGTTGTAAACTATATAAACAGTGTTGTAAACTATATAAACAGTGTTGTAAACTGTATAAACAGTGTTGTAAACTATATAAACAGTGTTGTAAACTGTATAAACAGTGTTGTAAACTATATAAACAGTGTTGTAAACTATATAAACAGTGTTGTAAACTGTATAAACAGTGTTGTAAACTATATAAACAGTGTTGTAAACTGTATAAACAGTGTTGTAAACTATATAAACAGTGTTGTAAACTATATAAACAGTGTTGTAAACTGTATAAACAGTGTTGTAAACTATATAAACAGTGTTGTAAACTATATAAACAGTGTTGTAAACTATATAAACTATAGATATTGTCGAAAAAGAGATTGTCACCGGAATATTACATAGAAGAAATAGTGAGAAAATCGTATGTTACAGTTACTTACCAGGAACATGTGAAGGAACATGTGAAGGAACATGTGAAGGAACATGTGAAGGAACATGTGAAGGAACATGTGAAGGAACATGTGAAGAAACATGTGAAGGAACATGTGAAGGAACATGTGAAGGAACATGTGAAGGAACATGTGAAGGAACATGTGAAGGAACATGTGAAGGAACATGTGAAGGAACATGTGAAGGAACATGTGAAGGAATATGTGAAGGAACATGTGAAGGAACATATGAAGGAACATGTGAAGGAACATGTGAAGGAACATGTGAAGGAACATGTTAAGGAACATGTGAAGCAAAGAAATATGAAGAATTTACCAGAAACTGCTTTTGCTGCTGTAACTGACACGTTTGTCAATAGTTGTAGTAATGAACAAATTTAAAAATAAATCACACGCACACACGTACACACACACACACACACACACACACACACACACACACACACACACACACACACACACACACACACACACACACACACACACACACACAGATTGGTGCAAAAACTGGAGGACCAAGCAGGGATAACAGGGAAGGCACTACAATGGATCAGGGAATACTTGTCAGGAAGACAGCAGCGAGTCATGGTACGTGGCGAGGTGTTAGAGTGGGCACCTGTGACCAGCGGGGTCCCGCAGGGGTCAGTCCTAGGGCCAGTGCTGTTTCTGGTATTTGTGAATAACATGACGGAAGGAATAGACTCTGAGGTGTCCCTGTTTGCAGATGACGTGAAGTTGATGAGAAGAATTCACTCGATCGAAGACCAGGCAGAACAACAAAGGGATCTGGACAGGCTGCAGACCTGGTCCAGCAATTGGCTCCTGGAGTTCAATCCCACCAAGTGCAAAGTCATGAAGATTGGGGAAGGGCAAAGAAGGCCGCAGACGGAGTACAGTCTAGGGGGCCAGAGACTACAAACCTCACTCAAGGAAAAAGATCTTGGGGTGAGTATAACACCAGGCACATCTTCTGAAGCGCACATCAACCAAATAACTGCTGCAGCTATGGGCGCCTAGCAAACCTCAGAACAGCATTCCGACATCTTAATAAGGAATCATTCAGGACCCTGTACACCGTGTACGTTAGGCCCATATTGGAGTATGCGGCACCAGTTTGGAACCCACACTTAGCCAAGCACGTGAAGAAACTAGAGAAAGTGCAAAGGTTTGCAACAAGACTAGTCCCAGAGCTAAGAGGTATGTCCTACGAGGAGAGGTTAAGGGAAATCAACCTGACGACACTGGAGGACAGGAGAGATAGGGGGGACATGATAACGACATACAAAATACTGAGAGGAATTGACAAGGTGGACAAAGACAGGATGTTCCAGAGATTGGACACAGTAACAAGGGGACACAGTTGGAAGCTGAAGACACAGATGAATCACAGGGATGTTAGGAAGTATTTCTTCAGCCACAGAGTAGTCAGTAAGTGGAATAGTTTTGGGAAGCGATGTAGTGGAGGCAGATCCATACATAGCTTTAAGCAGAGGTATGATAAAGCTCATGGCTCAGGGAGAGTGACCTAGTAGCGATCAGTGAAGAGGCGGGGCCAGGAGCTCGGACTCGACCCCCGCAACCTCAACTAGGTGAGTACACACGCACACGCACACGCACACACACACACACACACACACACACACACACACAACACACACACACACACACACACACACACACACCACACACACACACACACGCACACACACACACGCACACACATACACACACACACCGCACACAACACACACACACACACACACACACACACACACACACACACACACACACACACACACACACACACACACGCACACACAACATACACACACACGCACACACACACGCACACACACACGCACACACACACACGCACACACACACACACACACGCACACACACACACACGCACACGCACAGGTGTAGGGAGGCAAAAACTAAGTGCAACAGAGAATGGAAAAGGTACAGGAGGCATAGGACCCAGGAAAACAAGGAGATTAGTAGAAGAGCCAGAAACGAGTATGCACAGATAAGGAGGGAGGCCCAGCGACAGTACGAAAACGACATAGCATCGAAAGTCAAATCTGACCCGAAACTGCTGTATAGCCACATTAGGAGGAAGACAACAGTCAAGGACCAGGTGATAAGGCTGAGGAAAGAAGGTGGAGAACTCACAAGAAACGATCAAGATGTATGTGAGGAGCTCAACACGAGATTTAAGGAAGTATTTACAGTAGAGACAGGAAGGACTCTGGGGGGACAGACCAGATGGGGACACCAGCAAGGAATACACCAACAAGTGTTGGACGACATACATACAGATGAGGAGGAGGTGAAGAAACTGCTAAGGGACATCGATACCTCAAAGGCAATGGGACCGGACAACATCTCCCCGTGGGTCCTTAGAGAGGGAGCAGATATGTTGTGCGTGCCACTTACCACAATCTTCAACACGTCTCTGGAAACTGGGCAACTACCTGAGGTATGGAAGACGGCAAATGTAGTTCCCATTTTTAAAAAAGGAGACAGAAAAGAGGTACTAAACTATAGACCTGTGTCATTGACGTGTATAGTATGCAAAATTATGGAGAAGATTATCAGGAGGAGAGTGGTGGAGCACCTGGAACTGAACAAGAGTATAAATGCCAACCAGCACGGATTCTCGGAAGGCAAATCCTGTGTCACAAACCTTCTGGAGTTTTATGATAAAATAACAGAAGTAAGACACGAGAGAGAGGGGTGGGTTGATTGCATCTTCTTGGACTGCAAGAAGGCCTTTGACACAGTTCCTCACAAGAGATTAGTGCAGAAGCTAGAGCATCAGGCGCATATAACAGGAAGGGCACTGCAATGGATCAGAGAATACCTGACAGGGAGGCAACAACGAGTCATGGTACGTAATGATGTATCACAGTGGGCACCTGTGACGAGCGGGGTCCCACAGGGGTCGGTCCTAGGACCAGTGCTATTTTTGGTACATGTGAACGACATGATGGAAGGGTTAGACTCAGAAGTGTCCCTGTTTGCAGATGATGTGAAGTTAATGAGGAGAATTAAATCTGATGAGGACCAGGCAGGACTTCAAAGAGACCTGGACAGACTGGACACCTGGTCCAGCAAATGGCTTCTCGAATTTAATCCTGCCAAATGCAAAGTCATGAAGATAGGGGAAGGGAACAGAAGACAACAGACAGAGTATAGGCTAGGTGGCCAAAGACTGCAAACCTCACTCAAGGAGAAAGATCTTGGGGTGAGTATAACACCGAGCATGTCTCCGGAAGCACACATCAATCAGATAACTGCTGCAGCATATGGGCGCCTGGCAAACCTGAGAACAGCATTCCGATACCTTAGTAAGGAATCGTTCAAGACACTGCACACCGTGTATGTCAGGCCCATACTGGAGTATGCAGCACCTGTTTGGAACCCGCACTTGATAAAGCACGTCAAGAAACTAGAGAAAGTACAAAGGTTTGCCACAAGGTTAGTTCCAGAGCTAAGGGGAATGTCCTATGAAGAAAGATTAAGGGAAATCGGCCTGACGACACTGGAGGACAGGAGGGTCAGGGGAGACATGATAACGACATATAAAATACTGCGTGGAATAGACAAGGTGGACAAAGACAGTATGTTCCAGGGAGGGGACACAGAAACAAGAGGCCACAATTGGAAGTTGAAGACACAAATGAGTCAGAGAGATATTAGGAAGTATTTCTTCAGCCATAGAGTTGTAAGGCAGTGGAATAGCCTAGAAAATGACGTAGTGGAGGCAGGAACCATACACAGTTTTAAGACGAGGTTTGATAAAGCTCATGGAGCGGGGAGAGAGAGGGCCCAGTAGCAACCGGTGAAGAGGCGGGGCCAGGAGCTAAGACTCGACCCCTGCAACCACAAATAGGTGAGCACAAATAGGTGAGTACATGCATACACACACACACACACACACACACACACACACACACACACACACACACAGGCACACACAAACACACACACACACACAGGAGATTTAAGGAAGTTTTTACAGTAGAGACAGGAAGGGCTGTGGGAAAACAGCACAGAAGGGAACATCAAGAGGGAATATACCAACAAGTGTTGGATGACATACGAACAACTGAGGAGGAAGTGGAGAAGCTCTTAAGTGACCTTGACACCTCAAAGGCGATGGGACCAGACAACATCTCCCCATGGGTCCTTAGAGAAGGATCAGAGATGCTGTGCGTGCCTCTAACCACAATCTTCAACACATCCCTTGAAACTGGGCAACTACCTGAGAAATGGAAGACAGCTAATGTAGTCCTCATATTTAAGAAAGGAAACAGAAACGAGGCACTAAACTACAGACCTGTGTCTCTGACATGTATTGTGTGCAAAGTCATGGAGAAGATTATCAGGAGGAGAGTGGTCGAACACCTGGAAAGGAACAAGATTATAAATGAAAACCAGCATGGGTTCATGGAAGGCAAATCTTGTATCACAAACCTCCTGGAGTTTTATGACAAGGTAACAGAAGTAAGACACGAGAGAAGGGTGGGTAGATTGCGTTTTCCTAGACTGCAGGAAGGCCTTTGACACAGTTTCCCACAAGAGATTAGTGCAGAAGCTGGAAGATCAGGCGCATGTAAAAGGGAGGGCACTGCAATGGATAAGGGAATACCTGACAGGGAGGCAGCAACGAGTCATGGTACGTGAAGAGGTATCACAGTGGGCGCCTGTTACGAGCGGGGTCCCACAGGGGTCAGTTCTAGGACCAGTGCTATTTTTGATATATGTGAACGACATGATGGAAGGAATAGACTCTGAAGTGTTCCTGTTCGCAGATGACGTGAAGTTGATGAGAAGAATTAAATCGGACGAGGATGAGGCAGGACTGCAAAGAGACCTGGACAGGCTGGACATGTGGTCCAGTAACTGGCTTCTCGAATTCAGTCCAGCCAAATGCAAAGTCATGAAGATTGGGGAGGGGCAAAGAAGACCGCAGACAGAGTATAGGCTAGGTGTACAAAGACTACAGACCTCACTCAGGGAGAAAGACCTTGGGGTGACCATAACACCGAGCATATTACCGGAGGCACACATCAACCAAATAACCGCTGCAGCATACGGGCGCCTGGCAAACCTGAGAATAGCGTTCCGATACCTTAATAAGGAATCGTTCAAGACACTGTACACTGTGTATGTTAGGCCCATACTTGAGTATGCAGCACCAGTCTGGAACCCACACCTGGTCAAGCACGTCAAGAAGTTAGAGAAAGTACAAAGGTTTGCAACAAGGCTAGTCCCAGAGCTCAAGGGAATGTCGTACGAGGAAAGGTTAAGGGAAATCGGACTGACGACACTGGAGGACAGAAGGGTCAGGGGAGACATGATAACGACATACAAGATACTGCGGGGAATAGACAAGGTGGACAGAGATAGGATGTTCCAGAGAGGGGACACAGGGACAAGGGGTCACAACTGGAAGCTGAAGACTCAGACGAGTCACAGGGACGTTAGGAAGTATTTCTTCAGTCATAGAGTTGTCAGGAAGTGGAATAGCCTAGCAAGTGAAGTAGTGGAGGCAGGAACCATACATAGTTTTAAGAAGAGGTATGACAAAGCTCAGGAAGCAGAGAGAGAGAGAGGACCCAGTAGCGATCAGTGAAGAGGCGGGGCCAGGAGCTGAGTCTCGACCCCTGCAACCACAAATAGGTGAGTACAAATAGGTGAGTACACACACGCACACACACACACACACACACACACACACCACACACACACACACACACACACACACACACACACACACACACACTCGCACAACACACACACACACACACACACACACACACACACACACAGGAACTAGTCAGCTGAGGGACCACAAGAGACTTACGTCAATCACTCGAGAGTTACAAAGCAAGAGCCAGTTCTTACATCTTTCTTCAGATCGTCGACTGTTTTTTTCCTGACCCTGTTGGCCATGTTGGTCTTGTCCGGAACTGGCGCCGTCTCAAGACAGTTGGTGAAGCCTGGTGGAGGGCGGTAAACCCTCCAGTAAGCCCTCTCCTGCGAGTCCGTAACTATCTTGTCCCCTTTCTTCCTGTCCTTAGCCAGCTTGACCTGCAGTGAGTGTCTCTCTTCAGACTCCCGACCTGAACGGTGGGCCGATGGAATTAGAAGAGGGGTGAACCTAATAGTTGGATTTTGGAAAAAGGGGGTGGAATGAAAAAATGGTGTCCCAGAATGTGCCCTGTGGTTTTGAAAAAAAACCTGTGGGGAAAGGGGCGGGAAAAATTCAGAAAAACGGATTTTATGCAAAAAAATGCTGTGCAGGGATGGGTTCTTAACAGTTGGGGAAAAGATTGGCAATTTTGGAAATTAGGATTAACCAGGAAAAAAATTTTGTATTTTTTTTGGCCCAGGAAAAAAAGGTAGGGGCCCAGGGGGGAAAAATTACGATTTAAAAGAAATAAAAATAAAAACGAGAAAAAAAAGGGGCCCGGGAAAATTTTTGGGGGAAAAAAATTTTTATTTTAGAAAATTTGGGAAAGGGGAAGCAGGAAAGGAAAAGAGAAGAAAGGTTTTTAAAATTTTGTTTATTGGGGCTTTGCTTAGGACGGAAAAAAGGGAAAGGCCCGGGGGGTTGGGGGATTTGTTGCCTTTAGTTAAAGGTAACAATTTTATTGCTTCGGGGGGAAACGGGGTTTCAAAAGGGGACTGTTGGGATGGCCCAATGGGGTTTAAATGGGTTCCAAGGTTTTTTGAAGGAGGGGGGGGGTGGGGTGGGAAATTGGTAATTTGTCCCAAAAAATCGTTTTTTGAAACGGGGTTTTCATAAAAACGTATGTAAAAAACACTTACGGGTTTGGGGGTTTGGAAGAAGGGAAACGAGGGGGGCATGGAAAAACTAAAAATTTTTTTTTGGAGGAAAACGGGCCCCCATTGAATAACACGGGAAACTATTTTTAAAAAAGGAAATTTAAAAAAGCCAGGCCCGGGGTTAAGGAAGTAATTTTAGGGGAAAATAGTCAGGAAATTTGGAAAAAAATTTTCTTTTTTTTTGAATTTTTAGAATGTACGATTGAGATTTTCGGGGAACATTGTTTTTTAAGAGATTTTTAAAAAAAGGGGAATCCTGCTGTCTTGGGGTTTTAAATTGCCAAAATAAATTTGGGGGGGGTTCATTTTTTTAGAAAATTTCAAAAAAGGGGAAAAAGCAAAAACCAAAACAAGTCTTTTAAAATTTGGGGGCATAAAAAATGGAAGTGATATACCGTTAATTTAGAAAACCCGGGGAAAAATTTTGTTAGAAAAGGAACGAAATGGTTTTAGAGAAAACACTTTATTAATTTTTGATGGGAAAAGAGAGCTTCAATTTTTCGGGTTTTTTTGAACATTTTACAGCCCAAAGGGGGAAATCCCTTGATTAGATCAAAAATGAACCCAAAAAAAAATTTAAAAGGAAGGTTAGGCCCAAAAAAATTTAGATGAAGGAATAAAGGCGTTAAAAAGTCACCCCAGTTTTCCAGAATTGACTTAAAAACCCCTTAAAGGGGTAAGAAAAGCTAAAAGACATTTTTTCTAAACTAACACCCAAAAAGGGGTTTTTTCCCATATAAAAAATTAGAAAATAAATGACCCAAAAAAAAATAGGAAAATTCTACAGGGAATGAAAAATTTTGGCTTAAAATATATTTTCTTATTTTAAAAATTAAAAAAAAGGGGAAGAAAACTAAAAATATAAAAATTAATTTAGGGCTAAAAAAAAATTTTTTAATGAAAAAATTTAAGTAAGATGGTTTAAAAACAGGGCCCCTAAACAAAAATAAGTGCGTTTTAAAAATAATTTTTTTTCATTTTTAAAAGGAACCCCAAAATTTTGAATTTTTTTTTCATTAAAAAAAAATTTTATTAAACCCCTCACTGTGAGGGGTTAAGTGAAGATGGCAAAATAACCCTCCTTTTTTTTAAAAAGGGCAAGGTCCAAAAATTTTAACCGGCCATTAACAAATTTTAATTTACCTTAAAACAGGGTATTTATAGGGGAAAAATTAAGAACCCATTTTTAAAAACAGGGGAAATGTTACCGAAAATTTACCCCAAAAGCCGTCTTGGGGTTTCTAACAAATTAATTATCCTCTCGTAAAAAGCTTTTAATGATTAGCGGGTTAAAGACCCCACCCTAATTTTTTAACCTTTTCAAAACTTTTGGGGTTTTCCCAAAAAAATTTGTTTAAATTTACTTTTTTTAAAGGCAAATCCCCCTAACAAAAAGTGGCAGCTCATGGCTTTGGGGGGAAAAGGGGCTCTCGGGGAAATCGAGTCTGGCTACGACAGGAAGCAAGAGTGTCCTAAAGGGGGTAAACCCGGGGGGGGGGATCTGTAACAATGGCGTTCCACGGGGATCGTTTTGGGGGCCCGTTTTTATTTAAATATATATAAATGATCTTGAGGGAATTACTATATATAGCAAATTCCCCGATGAAAAAAGATAGGAAAAATTGATTCAAACGTAGATGTTAGGGAACTTCAGGAGGATTTAAAAAAACCTATTTTTGGTCAGAAAAGTGGCAGAGCAGTTCAAGTAGAAAAATGCAAGGTTCTGAAGTTGGGAGTCCCCAAAACCCCAGTACTTATAAATTAAATGATGTAAACTTACCAACAGATTACGAAAAAGGACTTGGGGGTTATGGGGGCAGAAACCTTAAACCAAGACACAATGCCAAAGCGTAGTAATAAGGCAAATAGATTCGGGGTTTTATAAAGAAGTGTAAGCAACAGAAGCCCAGGGGTTTCATACTGCAGCTTTAAATCATTGTAAGGCCCCTACCTTGATTATGCACTATTTTGGGTCTCCGTTTTACAAAATGGACATAAATTCGTTAGAAAACTTTCAGCGTGGGATGACTAAATTAATACAAGCATCAAAAATTTTCCTTATAAAGAAAATTGAAGACTCTTAAGTTTACATTCACTTTTTAGACGAAGAAGAGAGGAGACCTGACAAAGTGTAAAGGGGAAAGATAGGTATTAAAAAAGGGGGATATTAATAAGGTTTTGAGGATTCCCCCAAAGAAGAACCCGCAGAAAAGGGATTAAATTAGATAATTTAGATTTAGAAAGGACATGGGGAAAGTATTGGTTTTGGAAATGGGGAGTTGATGATAAAACAGTTCCCTAGTTGGGTTATTGAGGCTGGGACTTTGGGTAGGTTTTCAAATCTGGGTTGGATAAGTACATGAGTGGGAGGGGTTTGGTTTTTGAGTGGGACTTTCACATCAGAGCTTTTTTTCTTGGTGGCTTGAAAATTGGGTAGGGCAATGTTTTTTTAGGGGGGGTTTAATTAAAGGACCTGCCCTAGTAGGGCCAGCGGGCCCCCGCAGTTTCCTCCTTTCTTATGTTCTTATTTTCTTAAAAGGGTGTCTAGGGGCCGGTTGAGCAGGAGCGTCATTACACGGGGGAAAAGGGGTGTCAAGTGACACATTTGAAAGGAGCGTCCAAAACACACCACAGAAAAGTTCATGTGACACAAGCGTCAAAAGGGGTGTCGGAGACACGAAAATGCAGTTGATTATTATTTATTATTGTACAAATGTTATTTATAATATATTATTTTATCATAAATATATAGTGAGACAGTAGTGTCTGAGAAAGTTGTAGCCTGGTAGGCTCCCCAAATTTATAATTTTTATTATTTTACCAAAGATGTAATTAAATTTTATTATTGTAACATGTATATATTATCAGATGTTTATTTAGAAAATACCTCTAGACCAAAGATTGTTTTTATATTATATTAAAGATTAATTTATTTTAATGTGTATATATGTATCCCGAACTTTATATTACTGACACTAATGTAAAGACCAATTAGTGTTTTTGTAATACCTGGTATATCTGTTATTGTGACCTGGTAAACCCGTTATTGTGACCTGGTATATCTGTTATTCTGACCTGGTATACCTGTTATTCTGACCTGGTATATCTGTTATTCTGACCTGGTATATCTGATATTCTGACCTGGTATATCTGTTATTGTGACCTGGTATTTCTGTTATTCTGACCTGGGATACTATTATCTGATCTGGATACCCGTTATTCTGACCTGGGATATCTGTTTTTTTGACCTGTATATCTGATATTTTGACTTTGGGATACCTGTTATTTTGACCCGGTATATTTTATGTGTCCCCGGTTACCTTTTTTTTCGACCTGATAATCCGTTATTCTGACTTTGTATATCGTTATTCTGACCTGGTTATCTGTTATTGTGACCTGGTATATCTTTATTCTGACCGGTATATTGTTATTCTAAACTGGTAATCTTTATTCTGACCCGGTATACCCGTTACACTGACCTGGTTATTGTTTATTCTGACCTGGGATATTGTTTTTTCTGACCTGGTATACTGTTATTCTGACCCGGTATACTGTTATTCTGACCTGGTATATCGTTATTCTGACCCTTTTATATCTGTTATTCTGACCTGGGATATCTGTTATTCTGATTTTGGGATACTGTTATTTTGACCGGGGGTATCTCTTTTCTGACCCGGTATATCTGTTTTCTGACCTGGTAACTGTTAATCGACCTGGTATATCTGTTATTTTGAAAAGGTATATCTGTTTTTCTGCCTGGTATATCTGTTAATCTCACCGGTATATCTGTTACTATGACCTGGTTATCTGTTACCTGACCTGGTAATCTTTATTCTGACCTGGTATATCTGTTATTCTACCTGGAATATTGTTTACTCTGACCTGGTTACGTTAATCTGACCTGGGATATCTGTTACTGTGACCTGGTATATCGTTAAATTTACCTGGGATATCTTTACCTGACCGGTATATCTGTTACTCTGACCTGGGAATCTGTTATTCTGACCTGGGAATTTTGTTATTCTGACCTGGGATATCTGTTATTCTGACCTGGTATTCGTTATTTTGACCTGGATATCTGTTACCTGACATGGGTTAAAGTTTTTCTGACTTGGTAACTGTTTTTCTGACCTGGTAATCTTTTATTTCCCCCGGTAATCTGTTATTCTGACCTGGTATATCTTTTTCTGACCTGGTAATGTTATTCGACCCGGTATACCTTTATTTTGACCTGGGAAATCGTTATTTTGACCCGGTATATCTGTTTTCTGACCTGGTTATGTTATTCTGACCTGGTAAATCGTTTTCTGACCTGGTAATGTTTTTTCTGACCCGGTATATCTGTTTTGGGACCTGGTATTTTTGTTATTCTGAAACCCGGTTATTGTTATTCTGACCCGGTTTTCCTGTTATTTTGACCTGGTATATGTTATTCCCGACCTGGTTATCGTTATCTGACCTGGGGTATCTGTTTTTGTGGGCCTGGTATTTCTGTTTTTTCTGACCTGGTAATCTGTTATTGACCTTATACCCTTTTTCGCCTGGGGATATGTTATTCTGACCTGGTATATTGTTATTTTGGCCTGGTATATCTGTTATTGTGACCTGGTTTTGTTATTTTGACCTGGTATCTGTTATTTTCTGCCTGGTATACCTGTTATTCTGACCTGGTATATTTTTTTGACCCGGTATATCTGTTATTCTGACCTGGTATACCCGTTATTTGACCTGGTAAAATGTTATTCTGAAACCCGGTATATTGTTTTTTCTGACCTGGTATATCTCTTTTTTTTTTACCTGGTATATCTTTATTCATCTGGTAATCTGTTATTCTGATCTGGGATATCTGTTTTTTGACCCGGTATACCTGTTATTCTGGGCCGGATATGTTATTCGACCGGTTATCTTTATTGTGACCGGGAACTGTTTTTGATTGGTAACGTTATTCTGACCTGGATATCTGTTACCTGACTGGTATATGTTATTCTGACCTGGGAACCTTTTCTGCCCGGGATATCTGTTATTCTGATCTGGTATATTGTTAATCTCACCCGGTATATCTTTCTTTTTTCCTGGGTTTTCTGTTTTTCTCGACCCGGGATATCTTTATTCTGACCGGGATATCTGTTATTTTGACCTGGGTACTGTTAATTTGACCCGGAAATCTGTTACTCGACTGGTATTCTGTTACTCTGACCTGGTACATCTGTAATTTGACCTGGATATCTGTTTCGTGACCTGGTATACTGTTACTTGACCTGGTATATTGTTTTTTCTGATGGTAACTGTTATTTGACCTGGGATATCTGTTAATCTGACCTGGTATATTGTTTCTCGACCCGGTATATCTGTTCTCTGACCCGGTATAAGTTATTTACCTGGATTTCTGTTATTTGACCTGGGGAAATTTTGTTACTTGACCCGGGAATTTTTGTTTTCGACTTTGGTAATCGTTATTCTTTCCTGGTTATCGTTACTGGACCCCGGTATATCTGTTTTTTCTGACCGGTAATCTGTACTTGACCTGGTATATCGTTACTGTGACCTGGGATATTGTTACGTGACTTGGTAATCTGTTTCGTGACCTGGGATATCTGTTACGTGACCTGGTTATTTTTACTCTGACCTGGTATATCTGTTTTTCTGACCCGGTATATCTGTTACCGCCGGTAATCTGTCACTTGACCTGATATCTGTTACTCTGACCTGGTAATCTGTTTTTGTGACCGGTATATCTGTTACTCGACCTGGGATATCTGTTTTCTGTGACCTGGTATATATGTTACCCGACCTGGTATATCTGTTACTTGACCTGGGATACTGTTACGCTGACCTGGTATATCTGTTACTCTGACCCCGGTATATCTGTTACTGTGACCTGGTATACTGTTACTCCCGACCTGGTATATCTGTTACTCTACCTGGTTTCATCTGTTTTTCGTGACCTGGTATACTGTTACTGTGACCCGGATATCTGTTAGTGACCTGGATATCGCTACTCTGATGGTAATCGCTACCCTTTACCTGGTTATCTGGGTTTTGTGACCCGGTATATCGTTACTGTGACTGGTATATTATTACTCTGACCTGGTATATCTGTATTGTGACCCCGGTATACCGTTACTGTGACCTGGATATCTGTTACTCTGACCCTTGTATATCGTTATTGTGACCTGGGGATATCTGTTACCGACCTGGTATATCTGTTATTTTGACTTTACTCTGTTATTCTGACCTGGCATATCTGTTATTCTGGGCCTGGGATATCTGTTTTTCTGACCTGGTATATTGTTTATTCTGACCTGGTATATCTGTTTTTCTGACCTGGTATATCTGTTACTGTGACCCGGTATATCTGTTTTTTTCGACCTGGGAATCTGTTACTCTGACCTGGTTTCTGTTACTCTGACCTGGTAATCTGTTCTGTGACCCGGTATACGTTAAGTACTTTGGGAAACTGTTATGTGACCTGGTATATTTTACTCTGACCTGGTATACTGTTTTCTCTGACCTGGGATATCTGTTTTTTGTGACCCGGGTTTTTGTTATTGGACCCGGTATATCTGTTATCTGACCTGGTATATCTGCTCTGTGACCTGGTAATCTTTATCTGCCCGGTATATCTGTTATTGTGACCTGGTGTATCTGTTACTGTGACCTGGTATATCTGTTACTGTGACCTGGATATCGTTTTTTGACCTGGGATATCTGTTATTGTGACCTGGTATATCTGTTTCTCTGACCTGGGATATCTGTTATTGCCTGGCATATCTGTTACCTGACCTGGGATTCTGTTTTTTGTGACCTGGTAATATGTTACTGTGCCCCGGTAAATTTTTGTTACTGGACTTGGTTTTCGTTACGTGACCTGGGGATATCGTTTACTTGACCTGGGATATCTGTACTTCTGACCCGGTATATCTGTTACTCTCACCTGGTATATATGTTATTGTGACCTGGTATATCTGTTATTGTGACCTAGTATATCTGTTACTCTGACCTGGTATATCTGCTACTGTGACCTGGTATATCTGTTACTCTGACCTGGTATATCTTTTATTGTGACTTGGTATATCTGTTACTGTGACCTGGTATATAAGAACATAAGAACATAAGAACGAAGGAACACTGCAGAAGGCCTACTGGCCCATGCAAGGCAGGTCCAAGTCTCCTACCGGCTTAAGCCAATGCACCCAATCTAGTCAGGTCAGGTCACATTGACTTAAGGGAGGAACACGGCAACCGACCTGGTAGCACAAGCTATCAGGTCTAACTCACACCCACCCACATCCACTCATGTATCTATCCAAACCTACTTTAAAGCTACACAAAAACGTTCTGGCTCTATAACCGGTATTTGGGCAGTTTGTTCCATCATCCACAACTCTATTACAAAACCAGTACTTTCCTATATTCTTCTGAAATCTGAATTTTCCAACTATAAACCATTGCTGACGAGTCATGTCTAGGCTGATATTTCAGCACAATAATTTACATCCCTTTTATTTATTTCCTGTCTTCAGTTATTCACCTCATCATATCCCCCCTGATTCTACGTCTTTTAGAGAGTAGCAGTTTCAGGGCACCTTAGTCTATCCTTTCATAGGGAAGGTTTCTATACATGGATCAACGTTGTCATCCTCCCACTTTGTACCATTTTCAGAGAATTTATATCCATTCTGTAATACGGTGACCAAAATGTGCAGGCATAATCTAAATGAGGCCTAACCAAGGAAGTGTATAGAGTTTGAGACAAACTGAGGACTCCTATTATTTATGCTTTCTTGATATGAAGCAAGGATTCTATTAGCTTTATGCGATAATTATGCACTGTCTGTTCTTGGTTTCAGATTCTGCTAACAGAACTCCTTAAATCTTTTTCGCAATCGTATATTATAGATTCTAAATTATTTAGTTTATATGTGGCTAGCATGGTTTTTGTCCTGTCCAAATTTAGAACTTTGCATTTCGTCATATATTAAATGCATCTGCACTTCTCAGACCACTGCATCACGTCTATTCAATCTTCCTGGAGTGCTCGAATGTCTCGTCAGAATGAATTCGACGGCCTATTTTGGTGGTCATCGGCAACTTGCGAATGGCGCCTCTTTATGCCCTCATCTTATGTCGTTTCATGTAGATTGGTGAACAGCAGGGGGCCAACACTGAACCCTGTGGAACACCGACGTTCGTGACGCTTCCCCACTCTGATTTTACCCATTTATGCCAAACTCTCTGCTGCCTTTTTGTCAACCATGCCTTATCCAGGAGAAAAAAAAATATTTCTCACTCTATTCATGTGCTTTAATTTTCTCAATAGTCTCTATGTGGGACCTGTCAAAAGCCTTAATCGAAGTCCATATACACAATATCATATTCATTTACCATGATCTACCTACTCAAATAACTTAGTGGAAAAAAGTTAATAAATTCGTATATAAGCTGGAACCGCCCCTTTGTAAAACCATGCTGAGATTCGTTGATAATTTTATGCTTTTCAAGGTGGCTACGAACTGCTCGGCAATTATTGATTCCATAAATTTTACCACTATGGAGGTTAGGCTTATTGGTCTATAGTTTCGAAGCTAAGGACCTGTCACCTGTTTTGAAAAAATAGGTATACATTATGCCATTTTCCACTTATTGGCACAAGCAGGTTTGTAGTGATATGTTTATTGAAAGATTAGCCCAAAGGTGTGCTAGCTCCTTTCTTTACAGTCCTTTAGAACCCTTGCATAAGTTCTTCAGGGCCTGGGGATTTGTTAGGTTTTAATTTATCTATTTGCCTAAGGACCATGTCCTTGTGACCCTAATAGTGCACAGTTATTTATCGTCATGTTCTACCATAATTGATCATTACATGGTTATCGCTGTATCCTCCTGTGTAAATATGACCGAAGAGGAAGTATGTGTTTATAAAATTCTACACTTTTCACTTTTCAATGTCAGTGAGCTGTCCCGAGGAACTTTTGAGTGGGACTATCTTGCCCTGATCTTACTTTCTCGTATACTGAAAGATTCTTTGGGGTTAATCTTCGATTCTCTTGCAACTTGAACCTATTTTTAATCTCTTTTGCTTTTCTAATTCCCTTTTTTATTTCTCTCGTTAACTGAATATATGATTGCATCACTGCCCCTCTCCTCTTTGATTTGCCTAGATATGACCTATCTTATGACCAATCAGATATTTTAATCTATTGTCATCCATTTAGGATCATTTTTGTTTGATCTGATTTCCCTATTTGGAACTTAATTTGACTTTGAGCAGCTAGAACTATGCCATGCGAAAGCATCATTTTCGGCAACCATCACCTCCTAACTGGACCCTAGTCAGGTCATTCAGTTCAGCCCACCTAAGTATTTTTCGTCTTATGAATATCAGCAAGGATAGTCAGGGACGGAGACTTGATTGCTCATTATTAGGGGATTCCATGATATTATTAAAAACTGAGTGATTTGTGATCACTTTCCCCAAGCTCATAATTAACCTCAAGATTATTAGTTAGAGTTACTACTGGCAAGAACCAAAGTCAAGGGTTATTTCCACTAGTTGGCTCTGCTCAAAACTGTTTAAAAAACAATCCTGGATGTATCAAGAAAGTCACCTGACTCTTAAATTTCTGTAAATTGCTACAGTCATCTGTCTATAGTTGAAATCCTCCCAATTAGCACCAACATTTTCGTATGTAGTGCTTACGAATTTCGTCCCAGTGAGATTTACTGGCAACTCCCTATGAAGCTTTGGGGCCCTGTAAATCACTCACCCCAAAATTCGTTTTCTCGGCCTCGAGAAGCTGTAACCAACAGGATTCAGTGGTGGCTGGACGCTTTCTAATTTAATATCTTGTCTAACACTACAATTTAAATTGTCTCTGACATACTTCGCTACTTTCCACCACCTTTCCTGTTGACCTGTCAGTGTGGAATAATTTATAGCCTTGTAAGTGACATTCAGAGGGCATCTATCTATCTTTCAGATATAAGCCCAGGTCTCTGGTATAGCAATCAAATCTTGTTTCTCGGCACTTGCAATTAATATTAGCTATCTATCTTATTCTTACACTCTGCTTTTAGTATAGTAAACCTTAAGGGAGCTAGTCCCTTTCTGCCCTCTGCTGTCCCCCTTTGTTTGCTGACCCCGATTATTTTCTTTATTTTTAACTTATGTGAAAGCCCTTTTTTACATTTACTGTTTCCAACCCAAGTGTTGCAAACCCGCTTGTTTCCCAACCACCCATACCTTATTTCCCCAGTTTAAATCATGGCATTTCACCAATGGCTTTTTCAATTTTGGGCTGCAAGTACTACCCCCCCCAGCCCCGAGAGATGTACCCCATCCCTTGCATCTTCTTTTGCCATAAAAGTTTTTCCAGTTGTCAATGAATGGGGATTGAAATTTCCTTTAGTATCTGTCTAGCCCGCAATTTCACCCCAAATTTCCCTAGACAACCATTCATTTCCATCCCTTCTAGGCAAAATGCTACTATGATTGGGGTCCCCCCCTGGTATATTTTTATTCTGGTTTTATTGTTATATTGGTTATTGTTATTGTGAACCCGGGAATCTGTTATTGTGACCTTGTTATCTGTTACTCTGACTGGTATATCTGTTTCTGTGACCTGGTAATCTGTTACCTGATGGGATATTGTTTTCTGCCTGGTATATCTGTTTCTGTGACCTGGGTTTTTGTTTCTGTGACCTGGTTATTGTTTCTGTGACCTGGTATATTGTACTTGACCCGGTATTCTTTATTGGACCTGGTATATCTGTTATTGGACCCGGTATTCTGTTACTGTGACCCGGTATATTTTTTACTGTGACCCGGTTTATTTTTTACTCGACCCGGTTATTTTTTACTTGACCCTTTTATATTGTTATTGTGCCCCTGGTATATCTGTTATTGTGACCTGGTATATCTGTTATTGTGACCTGGTATATCTGTTACTCTGCCCTTTGGTATATCTGTTACTCTGACCTGGTATATCTGTTACTGTGACCTGGTATATCTGTTACTGTGACCTGGTATATCTGTTACTGTGACCTGGTATATCTGTTATTGTGACCTGGTATATCTGTTATTGTGACCTGGTATATCTGTTACTGTGACCTGGTATATCTGTTACTCTGACCTGGTATATCTGTTACTGTGACCTGGTATATCTGTTATTGTGACCTGGTATATCTGTTATTGTGACCTGGTATATTTGTTACTCTGGACCTGGATTTCTGTTATTTGTGACCTGGTATATCTGTTACTGTGACCTGGTATATCTTTGTTATTGTGACCTGGTATATCTGTTACTGTGACCTGGTATATTGTTATTGTGACCTGGTATATTCTGGTTACTGTGCCCTGGTATATCTGTTACTGTGACCTGGTATATCTTTTAAATGTGACCTGGTATATCTGTTACTGTGACCTGGTATATCTGTTATCGTGACCTGGTATATCTGTTATTGTGACCTGGTATATCTGTTACTGTGACCTGGTATATCTATTACTTTTGACCTGGTATACCCTGTTACTGTGACCTGGTATATCTGTTATTGTGACCTGGTATATCTGTTATTGTGACCTGGTATATTTGTTACTCTGACCTGGTATATCTGTTACTGTGACCTGGTATATCTGTTACTGTGACCTGGTATATCTGTTATTGTTACCTGGTATATCTGTTACTCTGACCTGGTATATCTGTTATTGTGACCTGGTATATCTGTTACTGTGACCTGGTATATCTGTTACTGTGACCTGGTATATCTGTTACTCTGACCTGGTATATCTGTTACTCTGACTTGGTATATCTGTTACTCTGACCTGGTATATCTGTTACTGTGACCTGGTATATCTGTTATTGTGACCTGGTATATCTGTTACTGTGACCTGGTATATCTGTTACTGTGACCTGGTATATCTGTTACTGTGACCTGGTATATCTGTTACTCTGATCTGGTATATCTGTTACTGTGACCTGGTATATCTGTTACTCTGATCTGGTATATCTGTTACTGTGCCCTTTGGTTTAAAATCTGTTATTGTGACCTGTTTATTTTTTACTGTGACCTGGTATATCTGTTTACTGTGACCTGGTATATCTTTTTACTGTGACCTGGTATATCTTTTTTACTCTGACCTGGTATATCTGTTAATGTGACCTGGTATATCTGTTACTGTGACCTGGTATATCTGTTATTGTGACCTGGTATATCTGTTACTGTGACCTGGTATATCTGTTACTGTGACCTGGTATATCTGTTACTCTGACCTGGTATATCTGTTACTCTGACTTGGTATATCTGTTACTCTGACCTGGTATATCTGTTACTGTGACCTGGTATATCTGTTATTGTGACCTGGTATATCTGTTACTGTGACCTGGTATATCTGTTACTGTGACCTGGTATATCTGTTACTGTGACCTGGTATATCTGTTACTCTGATCTGGTATATCTGTTACTGTGACCTGGTATATCTGTTACTCTGATCTGGTAAAATCGTTACTGTGACCTTTGGTATTATCTGTTATTGTGACCTGGTATATCTGTTACTGTGACCTGGTATATCTGTTACTGTGACCTGGTATATCTGTTACTGTGACCTGGTATATCTGTTACTCTGACCTGGTATATCTGTTAATGTGACCTGGTATATCTGTTACTGTGACCTGGTATATCTGTTATTCTGACCTGGTATATCTGTTATTCTGACCTGGTATATCTGTTACTCTGACCTGGTATATCTGTTACTCTGACCTGGTATATCTGTTACTCTGACCTGGTATATCTGTTACTGTGACCTGGTATATCTGTTACTGTGACCTGGTATATCTGTTACTGTGACCTGGTAAATGATAAGTTAAGGCTGGATGTGCAGATAACTGGTCTCTTGTGATGGACTGGGTTTGGTAACGACCAATTAAACAATGAACCACGTCTGCTACATATGGGAATCTTCAATGAGGAAACTTTTTACCAGCCATTGGCTTCTACAGTCTAATACAGAGAATAACAGTGAAAGATGAGGAGAAGTTTGAGGTAATCATTCCCTCAGCCTGGTGTCGATGTTTTCAGTCCATCAATCTCAAGATTGATAGATTCCAAGTTGAGGGACTGATTACCTCAAACTCCTTCTCATCTTCCACTGCTATTTTCTGCATTGGACTGATGAAGCCACTGACTGGCGAAACGGTTCCTCTGGTAGTGAATGAAATGAATCACAAAAATTGGATAAAAATCTTTCAGAGAGAGAGAGAAAGAGAGAGAGAGAGAGAGAGAGAGAAAGAGAGAGAGAAAGAGAGAGAGAGAGAGAGAGAGAGAGAGCACCTACCTGGAACCTGTAGAGGGAAGAGTCATCCTTGACGATGAGTGATCGTGACTCTCCTACAGGGAAGAAGTATCCGTACTGACACAGCAGGTTGGCAAGGTGGATGGCCTCAGCTGTGGAAGATACACCACATGTTACACTCAACCTTCACTCTACCAGCATTATTATTCACTCTACCAACATTATTATTCACTCTACCAACATCTTAAACTTCACTCTAACAACATTAAATTCACTCTAGCACCATCGCACTTTTCACTCATTAAATACCTAATATATATCATAATATTTTCTCAAACTTCCTGTCTTCATTGTCATTCTTGTAAACGTTGAACAGACTGCTTGACTTGGCTTGCTCTCCACTGCCTACCAGTTGCCAGTATGAAGGAACTTGCGTAAGCAAGGAAGCATTTACTTATACCAGGCTTGTAAGGTGACACATCAACTTATTGGGAGTCTTTGTAAAACAATATTATAATCAGCATTATTCTAACAAATGTTGTTATAAGAGTAATGGTTATTGTTTGACATCTTGTCTGGGCTCGGTGTCTCCCCTACCACCATACCTTCACGGGAACAATATAAAAGTAATACACACATTTTGTATACTCTGGTTCTCATTTCTTTTGCTCTCTCTTAAGTGGCCCGGTGGCCTGGTGGCTAAAGCTCCCGCTTCACACACGGAGGGCCCGGGTTCGATTCCCGGCGGGTGGAAACATTCGACACGTTTCCTTACACCTGTTGTCCTGTTCACCTAGCAGCAAATAGGTACCTGGGTGTTAGTCGACTGGTGTGGGTCGCATCCTGGGGGACAAGATTAAGGACCCCAATGGAAATAAGTTAGACAGTCCTCGATGACGCACTGACTTTCTTGGGTTATCCTGGGTGGCTAACCCTCCGGGGTTAAAAATCCGAACGAAATCTTATCTTATCTTATCTTATCTTATCTCATCTTCCTCTCCGTTCCCCTCACCATCCTCTCTCCTCTCTGTATCTCGCTTCCGCATCTCATGGGGAAAGATGTCAGGGGGAGACGCTACAACATAGAGTGAACACAAGGCTGTTAGCTGCCCCAATTTGTTAAGCCCAGTAAAGGACTCTCTGGGTACCAGGACCAGACTGACACAATCCATACCAAATGTTTGTTTACAGAGGAAGGTTTGCCAGTAAAAAATGTACTATGCTGACAATACCGAGATGATAGTACCGAGATGATAGTACCGAGATGATAGTACAGAGATGATAATGCAGTGATGATAGTACAGCGATGATAGTACAGTGATTATAGTACCTAGATGGTACCGAGATGGTAGTACCGAGATGATAATACCGAGAAGACAGTACAAAGATAATAGTACCGAGATAATAGTACCGAGATGATAGTACCGAGATGAAGTACCGAGATGATAATACCTACCTGGAGTCTACCTGGAGGGCATTCCGGGGATCAACGCCCCCGCGGCCCGGGCCACCTGGTCGTGGCCCGGTGCATCAGGGTCTGATCAACGAGGCTGTTACTACTGGCAGCACGCAATCCAACGTACGAACCACAGCCCGGTTGATCCGACACCGTCTTTAGGTATCTGTCCAGCTCCCTCTTGGTGGGAGGCTGTTGAACAGTCTTGGGCCCAGGACACTTACTGTGTTTTCTCTTAGTGTACCAGTGACGCCCCTACTTTTCACTGGGGGTATGTTGCATCGCCTGCCAAGTCTTTTGCTTTTGTATGGAGTGATTGCTGTGTGCATATTAGGGACCAGTCCCTCCAGAATCTTCCAGGTGTAGATTATGATATCTCTCTCTCGCCTGCGCTCTAGTGAGTACAAGTCAAGTGCTTCCAGGCGCTCCCAGTAGTTAAGGTGTTTGATGGAACTTATACGTGCAGTAAAGGTTCTCTGTGCATTCTCTAGTTCTGCAATTTCACCTGCCTTGAATGGGGATGTTAATGTACAGCAGTATTCCAGCATAGAGAGAATAAGTGATTTAAAAAGGATCATTGGCTTAGCATCTCTTGTCTTGAATGTTCTCATTATCCATCCTATCAGTTTCCTATCAGATGTGATAGTGGCATTGCTGTGGTCCTTGAAGGTGAGGTCTTCGGACATTACCACACCCAGGTCCTTCACATTACTTTTCCGCTCTACTGTGTGATTGAAGTTTGTAGTATACTCAGTTCTAGTTATTATTTCCTCCAGTTTTCCATAACGGAGTAATTGGTACCGAGGTGATAGTACAGAGATGATAGTACCGAGATGACAGGACAGAGAAGATAGTACCCAGAAGACAGTACAGATAAGATAGTTCCGAGAAGACAGTACAGAGATGATAGTACCGAGAAGACAGTACAAAGATGATAGTACCGAGAAGATAGTACAAAGATGATAGTGCCGAGATGATAGTACCAAGATGATAGTACCGAGAAGACATTACAGAGAAGATAGTACTGAGATGATAGTACCAAGATGATAGTACCAAGATTATAGTACCGAGAAGACATTACAGAGAAGATAGTACTGAGATGATAGTACCAAGATGATAATAGCGAAAAGACAGCAGCAACGACACAGTACTAAGAAGACAGTACCGGGAAGATAGTACCGGGAAGACAGTACCGGGAAGACAGTACCGGGAAGACAGTACCGGGAAGACAGTACCGGGAAGACAGTACCGGAAGACAGTACCGGGAAGACAGTACCGGGAAGATAGTACCGGGAAGACAGTACCGGGAAGACAGTACCGGAAGACAGTACCGGGAAGACAGTACCGGGAAGACAGTACCGGGAAGACAGTACCGGGAAGACAGTACCGGGAAGACAGTACCGGGAAGACAGTACCGGGAAGACAGTACCGGGAAGATAGTGCCGGGAAGACAGTACCGGGAAGACAGTACCGGGAAGACAGTACCGGGAAGACAGTACCGGGAAGACAGTACCGGGAAGACAGTACCGGGAAGACAGTACCGGGAAGATAGTACCGGGAAGACAGTACCGGGAAGACAGTACCGGGAAGACAGTACCGGGAAGACAGTACCGGGAAGACAGTACCGGGAAGACAGTACCGGGAAGACATTACCAAAAAGACATTATGAAGGTAGGGGATGCAGAAAAGGTGGGAAACAGAACATAGGAAGAGGATGTGGAAAGGGAAGGAGTAACTGGGAGGAGGAGAGGGAATTGGAGATGAGAGAGGGGGAGGAGGAGAGGGCAGGCCTATCGGGCATGGAAGCCGGCTGCACCATTTGCGTTATCGTGTAACCATTAGTTAAGAGGGACGGAGTGAAGGAGGTAGGTAGGTAGGTAGGTAGGTAGGTAGGTAGGTAGTAGGTAGGTAGGTAGGTAGGTAGGTAGGTAGGTAGGTAGGGAGGGAGGGAGGGAGGGAGGGAGGGAGGGAGTAGTATAGAGGATGCAGCAGAGGTGAAGTCAACTGTGATTGCACAAACAGTTAGGTTTGTTAGGGTCGTAGTTGTTATTGGGTTTACCTCCAGGTAAACCCACTTCTCTAACGCCGTGAGATTAGTAAATACTTCCTACTGTTTCTGTGATTAGTCTAAGTCAATAACCTCCACCAGTGCCATCATGCCACTCAAATAGTGTACTCTTTTACCATGTTCATTTCTCTTAAAATTTTAGCCATCATTATTACCTTGCCCTTTTTTTTCCATAATCATCATTTTCTCCTCGATTATTTTAGTCATTTTCTTCAGTTTCTTCTGATAGTTATAGTTTATTTCCTTATCTCTGGGACAAGTCTTGTTGTAAACATTTTGAGTTTTTTTTTTTATCTGTTGTCTTTATATTTCATCAAGTGTGAGCACCATGTTGGGGTTGCATACTATGTGTTGAGTCTTACACATGTAGTACATAGCGTACTGAGATTTATTAGTCTAGCACATGCAGCTGAATTTATGCCGCGATTTATCTCGTGTGTAACTGACTCCTAGAATTCCTTTCCTTTATTTGTTACTTGCATGTTTACCTCCTTCCCGTCCTTTCTCAATGGCTGCTCACCATCTGTGGCATGTCTTCTCCTTCCCAACTAGCCACTTGTCTGAT